TATATATATATATATATATATATATATATTAATATTATTATAACATTGTTGTGTAAGGCTTAGTAGAATTCACGTCCAAAGAACAAGTGATTAGAAGTTTCCGCCACCTTATGACATGCAAAGACATCCTTTGCATGGATCATATTGAATTCTTCAACGTGAGTCATGATAGTCTCTAAGCAAATGCTCAAACCTTTGGAGGACGTACACAACTTAACCATGATAATTTAAAAAACAAAAATGTACATGGGACCAACTGAGTGATAACAAGGTTATATGTCAATTAAACAATATAAGTGTTTCAAAAAAATTTCTTCCATACCCATTTATCCTATAACTTATTATTTAACTCTATCAAATTTGTACTCTCTTGAATTTTTGCCGTGAGGGATGATCAAGAGGATTGGTTGAGAGCTTTGGTTGAGTACTTCGCTAATTGTATCCCTAATAGGTTAAGTAACCCTACTCTCTGAGGTATATCGACAAAAATTTGATCTAAAAACTCATATCTGGAATAAGATCTTATATTCATGAGTAAGATCATACACCAATACGTAACAACCTCATCAAATCCTAAGATTTTCGAAGTCCATAAAATCATAGTAGCCAAGTATAAAAATTGTAACCCTAGAGTAAGGATAAATAGATTACACTTTTGAATATTTTGACTTTCGTGACTCATCTAAAAAATCCTAAATGTCCTTTAGATTGAAACATAACTTGATGCCAATTTAACCTAAACCCTAAACTTAATATGTGCTCCAATTTTATTTTATTTCGAGTGAAAGTTCAAATTTTCCAAGTATAACTTTTTTCCCATGTAAATAAAGGTCTTCTCCTTCTCCACTCTCACCCATCAAAGTTGCATTCTTACCCCCCTCCCCCAAACACACACATATTGGCTACCATACCAATATTTTTGTTCGATGTATGTTACAAATTGTCTTATGTAGTAGTTACTTTAATATTAATTAAGACAATTGTATATTATGATGTGACAATCATGGTGGTATAATAGATAATGTGATAAACTTGTAGAAGGAAAGTAAACTATTAGACAAGTATTTCTTATGTATTGAAGGAAGAAACCCTCTATAAGTTAAAAAGGAAAAAAAAACCATATTTATATTCAAATTTAGCTTAAAATAATTATATTATTTTTATCTTTGTTTAGGATCTTATGTATCCTTTTAGGTTTCCATTGCCGCATGTTTATTATCTTCTTCACATCAATTAATTTTTCTAAAATTATGAAATTTGAAGACTTAAGTCCTCTCATTCATTTGACCAATTCACATCATGTTTCTTTAAAATAAAAGAGTAACTATCCCTAACAAATAGAATAATTGGTATCATTATCAATGGTGTCTTAAGAGCTTTCAACATGTCCTAAATGTTAGGAGAATATTTTTTTCCTAATTTGAATCCCAATAAATTCACTCTTTAATTTTAGGCAAAAAACATACCAAATAAAAAAACAACAAAGTTGAAAATGATATAAACTATGATGACATGTGATAATAAAATAGTACAAGCCATAAAAAATCAAAATTCTACAATAAAAAATACTACTTTACTCTTATGAAAATTGACCTAATGAGAAGGAGTTATAACTTCTTATTAAATCAAAAATAGAAAACCAAAATTCAGAATATTAAAGAAATTCAACACCACATAACTAAAAGGTTCAATGTCTTGGTTAAAAATCTTGAAGAGGCAACTTCTTCCAATCTTGCATATTGGAATTAAGGATACGCCACTCACTTGAGGCTCTTAGAAGAAAGGAGCTCTTTGAGGTATTCCCTTTCTTTTCTTCTTTTGACTTTGGGGTTCAGAACCTCCCTCTTGGTTTTCCTGAGGAGGAGGAATACTTTGAATGGAAATGAAAGGAGGATCTGAATCATTAGGCTTACTTAAAACAGCTTTGACCTGAAAGTTCATATCTAGAACAGTCAGACTACAAAACTATAAAGTTCATTTCAATGGCATGAATACATAATGTCATCATGAGGAAAATTAATGGTTGTGATTGTCAAATTGTTGACATCACCTTGCAAGTAATGGAGCAGTAGCGATATAAATCGGGATCAGACAATTTTCGGTTGCAGGTATTGCATGATGCCTCATTATTTATTGCTGAACCACAATGTGGGAGAGGATTCAGAGAAATAACTAGTCGCTTGTTGCACTTGTAAGGCTGCAACCATAAAGGAATTAACCAAATTCACACACATAGTTTAGAATTTGTTTGAGGACATTCAACTATATAAATTTTAAATTTTATAAGCATGAAAAATTAATTGCAGTAAAGATTAGGGAAAAGGGAGATATAATGTCATTTAATAAGTTAGTTAATGCTAGGTTAATTAACAGTAAAGAATGCAAGATGTTGCACGAATCAGAATATTTGTATGTCATTTAAACACGTATTGCTTTAGCTAATATGCCATGGAAGAAACAAGACAATGACAAAAAAATGAAGTAACCAAGATAATCACCATAGGAAAATAGTAGTTATATATAAATTTTAGGAAACAGTTAGTTGTTTAAATTACAATGGAATGGAATGAAACGTGTTCTAATTCTATTCCATTTCATTTGAACTTTTTTTTTTCTTCAATTTTTGTTTAAGGAGTATAACATAGAATTAATGATGTTTTTTTATTGTGATATTTATCAAATGTCCATTTTATATTCATTTTTTTAACCTAATTCTCACATTTTATTATAAATTATCCAAATAATTAATAGAAAAAGTTTTCTTTTTTTTTTTTGTTTCATTTTTTTCCCCATCTCATTGTGCTTAATTCCACTTAATTATCAATAGATATACAAATACAACCTTTAGTGATTATCCAACACGATATGTTACGTACCTGTACAAGTTTACAATTTATTGATAATCATTGATATCTCAGATATTTATGAGGTCAAATAACATAATGAAATCTCTCTTGGAATATTGAAAATTAATAATCAGTTGAGCTGATATCAGTTTTGAATGAAGTACATAAAATATTTAGTGAATAAGAATGCGTGATATCACACCTGAATTTGTGAGCTGTCAATATACTTTTCCATAGCTGAAAGGGAGACAACATCCTTGTAAACATGCCTATAGATTTTAAGTATCTTGTGATGGCGATGAGGACCTGATGAAAAACAATACTGGCAAGCTGACATATTACAATTTATGCAATACTTGTTCAACTCATTCCTACGAAATGGATGAGTTGGACATGAGTCAAAGAAAGTTTTTGTGAGAAAACCCTCAAGCCATCTTGGCTTATGGATTTTGCGTTGAACCTCTTGTTCATCCTACAAAGTAAATCATATATCATCGGAAGTTAAAAAAGAGACCAATATTTTATTTTATTAATCAGAATTACAATCAAAATTATAATAATGATCACAAAATTTAAAATTCTGTAGATATTATTAAACCTCATTCTATGTCACCAAGTGATTCAGAGAAACTAATGTTCACTTCATCTTTTATCCTTTTGTATTTTCATCAATTTTCATTGTTAATTGTTTTTATTTTCCTTCCCTCCCCACCCCTTAAAATGTATTTAAATTCTATTCAGAAAAAGAAAAATACGTATTATTCAATTATTAGCCAAGTGGTCAACCAAAGAGCATACTAGAATTTCCGATCACTATTTTTTAATATCTTACCATATTAATTCTTAAATGATATTAAATAAATCATAATAATTTTTTCAAAATAAAAATTAAGAATAAAAATAATAGATAGTACCTCTGGATATTTCTTTATTAAAATATGTGGTTTAAACTGGTTTTTTTAAAATATAAAAATAATAATTTTTAATATATATTAATATTTTAGTGTGTGAAATATACAAATTAAATGTTTATTACATTAATTAAAATTTAAAATAAATTATATATAAATTAATATTATATTTGAATAAATATATTTTTTAGATCAACAAATAGATATTTTTAAATATGTAAATTATATTTATTAGGATAAATAATTTATATCGTAATATAAGACTATT